CCTGGGTGGCGCAGTCGGTTAAGCGTCCGACTTCAGCCAGGTCACCATCTCGCGGTTCGTGAGTTCGAACCCCGCGTCAGGCTCTGGGCGGATGGCTCGGAGCCTGGAGCCTGTTTCCAATTCTGTGTCTCCCTCTCTCTCTGCCCCTCCCCCGTTCATGCTCTGTCTCTCTCTGTCCCAAAAATAAATAAAAAATGTTGAAAAAAAATTAAAAAAAATTAAAAAATAAAAATAAAAATAAATAAAACTCATTCTCTAATAAGAAAGGGAGAGAAGAAAGGAAGTAAATTCCAACTATGGACTTTGTCCTTGAAGATGCAAAGGAGGTTCTCAAGCACCCCCCCCCGCCCCCCCCCCCCCAAACATATGCCTGAGCCATGCTGGGCTAGCCCACCATGCTCTCTTCTCTCCAAAAGCTGCCTTGTGGCTTTGTCCTTCCGAATTACAAACATCAGTGATTTGTCTCCATGGTCATTCATTTACCTATTCATTTAATAGATATTTACAGAGAGCCTCCTGTGTGCTAGACACCATTGTGGGCACTATATATTTGATGGTGAACAAGACAGGGAAGGCCTTGGAGGCTGACTTATAATGAGGAACTTAAGACAGTAAGGCAACAAATTCATGAATAAAAAAGATCAGATAGTGCTATGCAGAGAACTAAAATACGGGATTGTGACAGTGGCTGATGGTGTGGCTACTTTTGATGGGTGGTCAAGGAAGGCTTCTCTGAGGAGGTGGCATTTCAGCTGATGGCCAGAAGGTACCAACCTGGGAATACCAGGAGAAGAATATTCTGGAGAGTGGACAGCATATTCAAAGGCCCTCGGACAGAAACCTGCTGGTGAGTGTGGGGGAGGAAGAAAAGCTAGTGTGATGGGTGAGGGTAAAGGCAGGGTGAGATGAGGCCAGATTGGGTCAGGCTTTGTGAGGGAGGGCAAGGATTTTGAATATTATTCAAAGCAAGATGGCAAGCCATTGAAAGGGTTTTATTTTTTAATTCTTTAAGTTTATTTATTAATTTTGAGAAAGAGCGAGCAGCAGAGGGGCAGAAAGAGAGGGAGAGAGAGAGAGAATCCGAAGCAGTGCCCCACTGTCAGCGTGGAACCTGATGTGGGGCTCGAGCCCACAAACCGTGACATCATGACATGAGCTGAAACCAAGAGTAGGACGTTTAACTGACTGGGCCATCCAGGTGCCCCAAAAGGTTTTTAAAAAAAATTTTTTTTCAACGTTTATTTATTTTTGGGACAGAGAGAGACAGAGCATGAACGGGGGAGGGGCAGAGAGAGAGGGAGACACAGAATCGGAAACAGGCTCCAGGCTCTGAGCCATCAGCCCAGAGCCCGAAGCGGGGCTTGAACTCACAGACCGCGAGATCGTGACCTGGCTGAAGTCGGACGCTTAACCAACTGCACCACCCAGGCGCCCCCAAAAGGTTTTTAAATAAGGAAGTCACTTGATCTCATTTATGTTTTTAGAAAGATCCTTTGGCTGCCATGTGGCAAACGGATTGCAGGGAGGGCACTGCAGTGACCCAGTCGAGGGCTGCTCACGGATTAAGGTGTTGGCATTGGAGGAGAGAAATGGATGTTGTGATATCTTTTGGAGGCAGAGGTTCTAGGACTTGCTGAAGGCCAGGGAAACAGAGGAATTAGAGAAAATTCCTAGGTTTTTGGCTTGGGTAATTGGATGCTAATAACTTTTATGGGGAAAATTGAAGAAGCAAATATTTCAGGGGGAAAAAAATCAATAATCCCATTAATGATCTTAGTAGAAATATCAAACAGAAAGTTCATTATGCGAGTCTGGGTTTCCAGAGAAATATCAGAGCAAGAATCACAGGTTTGGAAACCTCCATATGTGGATGGTATTTAAACCAGGAGATTGGCAGGATCACCCAGGCAGAGTGTAGATGGAGAAGAAAAAAAGCCGAGGACTGAGTCCTGAGTTTTTTGAAGCTGAGAAATTAAACAGAAAATGGAGAATCTGAAAAGGAGACTGAGGAGGACCAGCCAGTGAGGTAGGAGGAATATCAGCAAGTAAGATTGCCTAAAGCCAAGAGAAGAAAGTGTTTCAAGAAGGAGGGCACCAGTCAGCTGTGTCGAATGTTGCTAAAACATTAAGTAAGATGAGGAGTAAACACAAGGTACTGGCAGCAAGGAGGTCACTGAATTTCATTGCAGGCATAATGAACATTGGAAGCCATACCAGTTCGTGAGCCCGGTAGGAAAGGGTTTGAATTTTAGTTCCACCACCTACCAGCTGTGTGACTGGACATGTTATTTAATTTGCCTATAAATTTGGATGATGACAATTACCTGATGGGATTGTGTGAAGTGTAAATGAGGTAAAATACACAAAATTGCATAGCACTTAGTACATATTGGTTCCCATTTGGGGAGCAGCTGTGGAAAGGCGGGAAACTTAGGACAGCCCCAGGGCAGAGGTCTTGGTGTCCTCAGGTTCTGTTTTTGAAACGTTAGAAGTGCTTGTTTTCAAGTAAAAGAAAAGGGTTATTGACCAAGAAGCAGAAAGTTTGGGTGGCTGACTTTGTCAAAGAGGGAGATGAGGGCAGGTTTCTACCATTGCATCCCAGGCTGAGCTCTTAGCTTCTTGGCGTGGCCTCAGGCGTCTTCTCTAATGAAATTTGAGGTCATATGTTTTCATACCAGTTGGGGACCATCCTCACTCCTATTATGTTCTGGACTGAGCAGAATGGATTGAGGCTAAAGGTGACTGACTTGGTGTCTAAAACCTTGAATGGTATGTTCTGAGCAAAAGTGGTATTAGGGGTAATGCTCCTGTTACTTGGGCAAGTTTCCAGGACTTACAAAAAATTCCAAGGGGTGCCTGGATGGCTCAATCAATTAAGCATCCAACTTCAGCTCAGGTCATGATCTCACAGTTCAGGAGTTCAAGCCCCGCATCAGGCTTTATACCTGCATACCAGCATGGAACCCGTTTTGGATCCTCTGTCTCCCTCTCTCTCTGCTCCTCCCCTGCTCGCTCTCTCTCTCTCTCTCTCTCTCTCTCTCTCTCTCAAAAAGAAAGAAAAGAAAAAAGAAGTTCTAGACCCTGCAGTAAGAAGACCATGGTTCCCCTAGCCCTTGCATGGAGAGAAGTGGATCAGACATAGAAGCAGATCCCATTTCAGGGTATATTTGTGCTTTCTTCATGTAGAGAGGTAGCTGTGACTATGGAGTAGAAAATGTCCAGAACGAGTGGTCACTGAACAGCAGTGAGCAGGTGTTGGAGTTAGTGCTTATCCCAAATGGTCAGGTCTGGAGTCATCCAGTTCTTAGTCCCAGGAGTTACTGGGAAATGTCAGGGGCTGAGTAGCGAAACTGCCAAGAGATGTAAATGAGAATGAGTGCCAGGAAAGCAGGTAGTGCCTAGGATAGGGAAGGCATCCATTCTACACCCCCTTGGTCCATGACAGACACCACTAATCCATCCCAACTCATTCCCACTAAACCTGAATTCAGCCTCTAATCTAACCCAAACCTAAACACATTCTCAACATAGAGTTCTATGCCACCACTACCAGTACTTTGACCTTTGCCTACAAGACAGACCTAGTAAATATTCTCGAATTAGGACAAGTTTACTAATCTAACTGGCGCTCAAATAACTTTGTACAGCCTAAGTAGAGGAGTGAGTCTGGAGTGTAATAGTATCTTGTAGCACCTGACCATCATCTTCAATCCTTCATTATATGAGACTGATTTCAGGAGATGATGGAATTTTGGAATTGAACTTTCCTGGGCATCTAAGAGCAGTTCTTTTCAAATGTTATGATCTTGGTAAATGCAGACTCTGACTCAGTAAGTCTAGAGTGGGAGGTGAGATTGTGCATGGCTAACAAGCTCCCAGGTGGTGCCGATGCAATTGAATGAACTACGGTCTACACTTTGAGTAACAAGGGAATTGACCATGTTAAGCAATGACTCACCAGAGAGGAGAGGAAAATTTCAGACAAACAGGAACCTAATAGGGCTCACAGTGTTCTAGAGAAAACTTGGCAAGATCCTGCAGCCACCTGGACAAGCAATCCAGGATGAGGTAACTCTACCATGTAGACTCATGTTATGAAATATATGAGTAGCTTGAAGAGAATACATGCTCCAAACTTCCATTGCCTTGTGTGCAAGTTGCCACGCATGAGCGGAGAAAGGTGATGGCCACTGGGCACCTCACCTTGTCACTTGGGAAGAGAGGCAGTGAGCAGGCTTCCAGGAGATTCCTTGGACTTAGCTGGGATCAGGACAGGATAGGGGGAAACTGCAGTGTCCCAGGAGTAGAGAAAGTGGCCAGGGGCTATGCCCTTTACAATAGTAGATCCAGCTTTTTCAGGACCAGAGATAGTCCTGGAGCATAAGCAACTAACCTGAGATAACCTCTCTAACTCACTTCTTTACCTTCTCCCTCAGTTTCTACAGAGAATACTTGTTCAAGCAGCCTTCCTGTCAGAGGAGAGCTGAGTTAAAGATGGTTTGCTTATGGGATCTTTAAATGCATGTATTTCGTATTGAGTACAACCCTGGCTAGTCTCAAAGCATATTCAGATAGGTGACTGAAGGCTAAAGTAATTGGTTATGAAAGAGGGCACAGAAGAATATTGGGGAATGGCTACCACCACCAGACATAGGTCTTCTTGAGGGCCTCCATGCTAAATGTACCAGTGTGCCACACCAGGCAGCATAGTGTGATGGAAAAGGTACTGGTTTGAATTCGAATCTTAACTCCTCACTTAATACCTCTGGATGTTGGATAAGTTACTTCGTTTCTCTGAACCTTGTTTTCCTCATTGGCAAAATATTATCTCCTTGCAGGGCTAATGTCAGATAAATGAGGCAATGAATGGATACATGCTGAAGGCAAGACTTGCCTCATCCTAAGCACTCATGCATGGGAGTTCCCTTCCCAGCTCCACTTCTAAGAACACAGCCCCTGCTGCCCATGAGGAGCTTTGGCAAGGTTGTTGATTACCCCACCTTGTCTCTGCTGGACTGTCTTCCTCTTCCGTCCAACATGCCACTGGGAAACACATGCTTCTCTTCAATCATAAAATGAAAATGTGAGTGATTAATGAACCACTGTATTTGGACATATCTAGAATGACCATACATCACAGCACATCCAGAACAAGGATCCAGCTTATACCTGATGTCCTGTCCTGTTCAGCAATATAATACTCTCAAGGGTCCTGGTTTGGGTGATAAAGTATAAACTCTAAGGGGCTGTGCAAATACTAGGCAGTGTACATTGTATTTTTGGTTGGAAGTTACTGCTGCTAAGCCTACATTAAGGCTGGAAACACAAGAGTTGAAATGGTTCTTTTTACCTTCCTTATTTGACCTTATTTGACCCCCTTATTCCTACCTTTTCCCTTGGTCTGAGGGGAGGGACAAGAGGAAACCTGAGGAGTTTTGATGACTGGAGAGAGCCTCAGGAGCAGGAAAATCTCCCTGGCCAGGAGAGTACCCTCCCAGCTCCCCCTCCACCCATGCCCACCATCAGCCACCAGGCTCCCTTCCAGCCCCACCCAAGACCAGTGACTCACCCCCATCCAGGCCTAGACCTGTCTTCAAACAGTGCATGAAGCGTCTCTGCTCTCTCTCTGCCAGTGAGGGTGGCAGATATTGTCCTGAGAATGTTAAACCCACATGCACTCTGGGAAGCCAGATCCTGGCTGGGCCACCTGGATGGATTGTTCCAACATCTCTCTTCAATCCTCCTCCTCTCCTCCCCCTCCCCTTACTCCTCCTCTGCCTCCTCCTTCTCCTCCTCCTCCTCTTCCTCCTCCTTTTTTCTCTTTCTCTTTCTCTCTCTCTCTCTCTCTCTCTCTCTCTCTCTCTCTCGCCTCTTAAGGGAGCTAAAATGAAATTGAGCAATACTCTGGAATAACTGGGTCAAGTCAGCCATGTGTGGGGAGGAAGAGACAATTGACTGTGTAGGTGACTTCGGATCAGGCAGACGCACCATCAGCCAAACAGGAAAATCTGGAAAGTCTATGCACTGACTATCCAAGGACCCCTCACTTACTGGGTCAAGGCCAGCTCCGCTCAGAAAGCTAGAGAGCTTTTACCACCAAGCCCCTAACCATCAGCTTCATCTCCCTCCATGTTCAAAACATACCTTAGTCTTGAGCCACACTGGACTTTGCTGTATCTCCTGAGTATGTCAACTATTCATGCCTCTGTGCCTTTACCCATGCTGTTCCTTTTCCTTATGGTGCTCTCTCCCTTCTTTATAGCTCTGAAAACTCCTACTCCAGCATCTGTTTCTCTGAGATTTCCCCAGGCAGAGCTAGTTTCCTTCTCCTCCCTCCTCCCAAAGCACAGCACCTGTATTTCCATCAATGCTGTAGAGATCTGCCTCCCAGCTCATTAGATTGTTAGTTCCTCAAGAGAGGGAACTTGTCTTACTCATCTTTGTATTTCCAGAGCCCGTCACCATTTTTGGCTCATGTGAGGTACTTACTAAGTGTATGTCAAATTGGTGAATGAATGAATGAATGAATGAGTGAGTAATGGTAAGAGGGTTGGCTACGGGGTCAGGATTGGTGTCCCAGCTCTGCCAGCGGCCACTGTGTGATCTTGGCCAACTCACTTAACCTCTCCTAACCTCAGATGCCTCACCAATAAGATGGCAATAATAACACCCACACTACCTACCTCATAGGTCAGCAGTGAGGGCCCAGTGACATAAAGTATGGGAAAGCACCTTGTAAGCCAGAAAGGGAGATGAAGGCACTCCAACCCCATGAAGTCTGCTACATTAATTGGGCTTCAAAGCCCTCACTCCTGGGTGAGGTGTGCACTGGGAACAGAGGCCTCTAGTCTCTGAACTCTCCAAGAAACTGTCAACAGAAGTATCTTTCAGTGCAAGCACAGAGACAGATGGATGTGCTTATATGGAAATGTGTTTTTAACAAATATAACATGAGAATGGAATTCTTTTTTCCCCACATCAAGCCTTGATAGCTAATTAATTCCACCTGGAGGAGAGAGCCAGGGTTTGGGCAAGGAAGAGTCCTTATTCCTTGTTTGGGAAAGAAGTTACGGTAGCTATCTCATGAGGATCTGGGGAAAGGCAACGGATAAACCAAGTCATTTCATTTGAAGGATCTCAAAGATTATTTAGTCTGACCTCATCGTTTTACAGGCAACCCAGAGAGGGGACATGATTAGCGTAAGACACTGGGAATTGTCAAAACTGGGCATGACCTCCACTGCTTTTTCTCCGACATAGCCAATTCTGCTGACCCCAGACTGGGATGACATTTCTTAGCCAGAGTCTGTTGATGGTTGTTAGACCAGCCTGTAGACAATGTTAATGATCCAAGGAAATACTCTTCATAGCAGACTTCATTTTTTTCATGGCAAATATTGTGCCCAAAAGAATGCTTTCAAATTGATGACCCTTGTTACCCTCTTGCCTTCTCTCTAATAATCTCCGTTTTGTCAGGTCTCACATAGTTTTGAAATATTTATCCCTTTAATATGCCTTTGATGTGTGGAGTGCCTGACTAGATGCCAATGGCTGTGCTTTGGGACAGTGACACAGGGTCCAACAGGGGGTGCTGTGGATTGGTCCCCAGGTGACCTGGATTTCCACTCCCTGACCCTGACACTGTGGCACCTTAACAAGACATTTCCATCCTTTGAACCTTTGTTTTCAAATCCATGAAATAAGGCTGAATTCCTTCCTGATTTCAGATCTATGAGATGAACATGGATTCTTGATGCTCACCTGATAAGAACAGGATGTTGCATTCAGATTTATTTTCTTAACTCAGGTGTCATCCCTAGTCAGGCTAGGAGCACATGGTAGGGTGGGGTCCAAAATGGTGTTCCTCAAAATATTTGAGCAGGATGTTAGGTAAAATTTCAGCTGCGGCTGGTAGTTGAGTCTGGGTAGCAATTATCTCTTCTCTGTCTTGCTCTCTAGGACACTGAGGGATAAGAACTCTTGGCCTTAGCCACAGTCACAAATTTTTTGTTTGTTTACCATTACTAAATTATTAATTATTTGAGCTAATGTTCTTGACTTTGTTCCTACCTTCTCTCCTGGCCATCTCTTCAACCCCTATAGCTTCGACTACCACCTAGATGCTGAGGATTTCTCAAACTATTCTCTTGATCCAGGGCAGAACCATATACTCTTTCCTTTGGGCATCATCCCTAAGCTTTAGACTATACATTGAATATCTCCTCCTGAGTGTCCTGCAGTCCCACCACATTCAGCATCTCCTCCATTCCCTTGTTGCTGCTCTCTGCCTTCCCCATCTTAGTAACGATGCCATATTCAACCAGCTGGCCAAGAAGAGCCCTGTAAATCATTTTGATGCCTCCCTTGTCTTGCCTATCCCAGGTAACTCCTTCCCTAACCCAGCTCACATTCTTCTTTTCCTATTTCCACCACACTTGCCCTGGTTCCTGCCTTATCATCTGTCACCTGGACCACTGTATCAATCTCTTAATCTACCTTCCTGCTTCTTCCTTAGAACCTTGTCTTCCAAACTATCCTTCACACTGCAGCTGTGAGTGCTTTTTATCCCTGATATAATTTGAATCACCCAGGATGCTTCAACACACTGATCCTTGGTTCCACCCCCAGAAACTCTAATGTCATTGGTGTGGGCTGTGACCCAGTATGAAGAGTCTTAAATATTCCTCAGCTGATTTTAAAATAAAGTGAAGGTTGAGGGCTACTGTGCTAAAATAATTTTCTTAAACAACTTACAGGGTGAAGTATGAATCCTATAACTGGCATTACTTAACCATTCCCAACCAGCCTTCCTCATCTATTGCCTTATCTGCCCAGGTGATTCCAGGATGTGGGCAAGGATTCCAGGATATTAGCTACAGCATGGAGGGATCCAGGTAAGGGATGATAAGCAAAAATTGAGAGCAGGATGAAAATGATGAATTCTACTAACCCTTTTGTCCTTTCTCAAACCCAGATGCATAATTAGTAAAAATGTTCTTGGATACAAAATCTAATCCATCTTCCTCCAGTTCCTTTTCATTGTACGTCCTTCCAGCATGAGAGTGAATTTGGCTAAGCAAGCAAAGGAACCTAACTGTTCTCCTAGTGAACAGGAGGGTGGGAAGGGACAGACTAATACCAGAGAGGCCTCTAGCAAACTATTGTACATATCTGCTAAGTCCCAAAGATGATATAAAACAGTTCTTTGCTTTCCCTTGGAGTAGCCCCTGCCCTTCTTAACCCACCTAAGCTAGACATCGAGCTTGTCTCTCTGTTTGCCTATCTGTTCTTTACATCAAACAGTCCTCTTGGTTTTTTGTCTGTTTGTTAATGTCTTTCCCCCCCCCCCCCCCCCCACCCCTAGGGTTCTGCGTCTCCTTTTCTTGGCTCTAACTCATGCTCAGCCAATTGGGTACATCTGGTTTCCCCTTGACTGAGCTGGTAGAAGTGAGGTTTAGGGACCCTTGGAATCCAATTCTGTAGGACTACACTGTCCATGTCCTTTCCACTGTACCAAGCATCTTTTAGTAACTTTTGTTTTCTGATAAATCCAGACTCTTCTGAGAGCAATCTAATCTAAACAGTATGAGGTCAGAAAGCAGATGTGACCTCAAGAATGAGCATTTCCAAAGGCTTGTGTTTTCCAGATTAACGTTTTGCAATGAGGGGTCACAGTTCTCATGGGATTTCTTAGAGGAGCACTCTGGAGTTGGCATTGGGGGAGGGGGGTAGAAAGTTCAGGGTTAGGAATCAGTAAAACTTCAAGAGTCCTGAATAACAGGTCAGGTTGGACTGAAAAAGTCATTTTTCTTGTCAATAACTGAGAACAATATATTTGCTTTTGTTTGGTTTACTGTGAAGATCCTATGAAAGAATGTCTGAGGAAGTGCTTTCATGGATGGCTGAGCAGAACTCCGACTGAATAAAGTATTGTTATTCTGCATGCAAATGCAAACAATTGATGCCTGGAAGTGAATCATGGAATAGAGGCATTAAATTGAAATGGCAAAACCAACCAGGTGTTGGATTCGTCAAGTGGTTCATATGGTTTTCTAACAAGGGATCATAATTTGTCTTGGGACATTCAAAAACTCCAATGAAACAACACTATGCAGGATGTAACATATTGAAGATTAAGACGTATGGGCATGATACCCAGATTTACAATACACTGGCTGTTTTGCAATTGAAAATCAAAAACCAGATTTGGGGAAGAAATGTTTCTCTAACATCTAAGAAGCACACCAAGGCCAGAATCCAAGGAAGAAGGTCCACTGGGGGCTTCTAGAGTGTAATCCAGGTTAGCAAAGCTACATGTCCACAGGGTAAGACAATAATGAAGGGTGAGTGGACTGAGCTTCTGAAGGGCCATTACAGGGAGCAATAGCTACTCCACGTCTGCCCATGGTGGCCTTGTAGGAATCAGACTGAGTGCACCAGATTTTCTGATTTTTCAGGAAAAGCTGGAAATGTAGGCTTCTGTTTGTGCATGTACATGAAATTTCCATTTTTAAGTGCTGTCGGTGGAACAAGTTTAAAATACTGGGTGGGCCAAACCAAACAGATGAGCTGATTGGACTTGGCCACAAGGCCACCCACCTATAACTTCTGCTCTGGGCCAGCTGGCCACCAGTTAGAACTACCTTGCAGAGGCTTTAGAAATCTCACTGCTTGGGCCTTACCCTGAACCAATTAAATCAGAATTTCTGAGAGTGAGACTTAAGTATGTATGTAAGTTAAAGCTAGCCAAGTGATTCCAGTTTTCAGCCAAGTTTGAGAACCAGTGCTTCAGAGCCTTGATACTCAAAATCTA